TAATAAAAAAGAAAAAAAAAAAAAAAAAAAAAAAAAAAAAAAAACACATCTTAGTAAAACCAATACCTTCTCAGCTTCGCATCGAAGCTAAAATATATTGATGACTTAGTTATTTTTAAAAAAGTTATGGCAGTTTTAAGTAAAAAATTTTTTTGGAGATTTCCCCTATTTACGGGGAAGGAGGGAAATATTTTCAATTTTTGAGGTTAATTGTGTTCGGCTAGATACGATTCGTGATCTTTTGACGTATCGTTGAAAGAAATTGATTTGGTGAGAGCTGAGAAACAGTGGGCATAGACCCCCAAAATAATAGTAATAATAAAAACAATTAAATAAAACACATCACAGTAAAATTAATACCTTCTCAGATTCACATCGATGCTAAAAAAGTTTATTTAATATTTATAAAAATAAATAACAACGCAATTTATGTTATATAATATAATGTGAAAATTATAAATATACCTTAAAATTTCTGTCATCGGGCATTAAACCTTTTTTAGCACTATCTATGATATCTAAAATGCAAGAAACATGTGTACTAAAATATGTTTAAATGTTGAAACGATTTAACTGTATATTTTAAGTACCTGGAGTTAAGGGATACTTGGCCATGCAAGTATCTATTAATGCCTTTTTCATTGCAGCAATATTTTCATCAGAATTTGGTCTAGCCTAAAAAAATACTTGTCATTCTTACATAATATTGTACCACTCATAAATTCGATAAAACTTACCGAAATTTGTGTTCCATGAAGTAACATCGACATAAAAACAACAACTATGTTTATTTTGTAAATAGCTTCCATTTTGTTAGTATATGATTCGTCTAGATACTTAATCTACTCTTCTTACCTCAATTATGTATCATAACATTAAAGTATCCCGAAAGACTGGAATCATTTGCTTTTTGTACTGCGGTATTTGAAATAGACTTAATGAACTGTAATTATAAATAACCTTCCAATTGATCCGTAATCGTGTATTTATTTCATAAACTAAACTCAAAGTTATGGTAAAACAACAAAAATCCGAAAATAGTACACTTGCATATCGTGCTGTATTGTCATTGAGAAATGTCAACTGTTAATACACATAATTAATATAGTTCGACCACGCACGATAAAACAGTGTAATTAATAGTTATAATCATAAGTTTGAAACAGATAAACAAAATTTACATCAAAAGCTACGGATTTTGAATGACGTACGTTTGATGATTACAATTGTACAAAATATTAGCAATTCAAGTTGCTAATTTCGTATTATTAACATGATTTTTAAAAACTTAAATGATTTATTTCGTGTAAACCTTGTTAATAAACTAACCTTAGACCGATGAATCTATAATGCAAACTAAGTTTTACCATTTATAAAATTATAAATTTAATGGAGAAGATTTTTGAGGAATGTACTTATTTTATGTTCTATGTCAAACGTTAAGTAATTAGACTGTAACAAACAGTGGTTTAATTTTATAATACTCATTATAATATTTGCTTTACGATTCAACGTTAGATTTCGTGGTCATTTTACTGATGACTGCATTAATACACTAGATATTTCAGATAAATGGTTACTTTGTCATGAATTCATTCCAATTCAGAAATTATACTGAATTATTCAGTTGGGATTCTGACCAACAAGAGTAGTATTCCACACTCTTCTAATTGAGTCTAAAACTGAAATATTCTATTGTGTATACAATTGTATTGTATACAAGTGAAGCAACATATTTAGGAAACTCATGTGAAATTAAATTAATATTTATAAAAGCTGTTGTAAATATCAGATAATACAGATTATTAGTAGTATAAAATGTTATTTAAACAAGTACGAGTTTTTATTAATGTTTTTCTTAGTTTCATTAGAAACAAATAATATTCAACAAATAAATGATTATCTAAATCTTAAAATTATATTTATTATCTTATCAATCAAATAATTTATCTTAACATAAGATTTAAGAAAAATTGTCAAGGAGTATAATAAGTGCAGTAAAATTGTTGTATAAGGTTGTCGCTTTGTTGAAAGGTTCTCTGTATAGATGCTTAAATTACATTAAATAGAATTTCAAACTGTTGTTGTACTGTTTACCATCCACTTCGAATCATCACTTCGTTTTTATTAGTGCTTAAAAGCATTTGAAATGTTAAGATAATTTACTAACATTTACTTACCTATAAAACAAACCACTCTTTCGGTTTAATTAAAATAAATAATATAGTTAATCCAATATAATAACTAAGACATTTGTAAAGGACTTTTTCATTAACATCATAAAGGGAAAATTAGATACTGTCTAAACGAAATTAAATTTTTATTAAAAGTGTAAATGCAAGCATTTATTTTATCTAGCAGATGCATAATAATATTTTAATTATACATTGTTAAATTTGGAACAGTAAAATAGGACGTTCTTCTATTAAGTTATTATATAAGATTTGAAATTTATTTATTTTTTTAATTTTAGATTTTAAGGTTTTTGAAAAATTAAAGAATTCTCACTATTTGGTTTTAACTGAATATTATTGTCTATGCATTTTTAATGCGAAAAATTAATTAAGAACATTATGAAAATTGTATTTTTTTTGTTTAAAAAGATATGATTTAAGGACTAGATATGTTAATACAAAATAATAAAACGTGGAATAAGATTAAGAAAGTAACAATATTTTATTATATAAATAATTTTTGAAAATTGATGGAATTGCATAAAAGATTTACGATTTAATAATGTTGTAAATAATGTTTTTTTCTTTTTAAGTTACAATTGATGTCTGTATATCAAGACATACTGCAAATAATTGTGGTGAATTTTATAGTAGACAAATGATTTCTCTAGAGAAATAATTTAATCAATAATTTATTTATTTATTTTTCTTTGAATATTTTTATTCAGTGTTATATAGTTCATATGGATATTCTGAATCATACAATTATTGATATCACTTTGGGTATGATCAAATAAATGTATTATTAACCTACTAAGTATAATTCCCGTTTTAACAGCTAAATATACTAAATAATGTACTATAAATATATTTGATTCATAAAATTATCAAACTAATTACACATAAGTTTTAGAATATATAAAATATTTATTTACAATTTTTATATGTATCCCATTAAAAAAAATAATTATTTCAACTATATTTGTAATGATATATTTTTAAATGATAATTTCATATGTATTATAATAATGAAAAATTAAAAATATCGTTTTTAAAAAAGTATTACACTATTTGTACTTAATTAATTTAAAATTTAAATATTGAAGTTTATTTTTGAAATTTGAGAAATATTAAAGAATTACATAAAACTATTCAGTATCGTTGATACTCTACAGTGTAATATCAGAAAATTTATTGAAACAAACCGGTCAAACGGAAAATTAGATTTACGAAAACGGAGTTGCCTGTGTGCTGTTGGCTGTCAACACGAATTTTGTAATAGTACTCAAGTAATAGTATGGAGGGGTGTTTTATAAAAAGAATGTATGTTTATACCTTGTTGTAATTACACGCTAGACATCAGATCACTAGAAAATCGAAAATCGAATCTCACTTAAGACATTTATAGCTATTAATAAGTTAGAGGATAGAACTATTTGTAACTTAGTTTTAGTTTTCATTTTTTTTGTCAGTCATGCTGATATTTAAAAGGACAAATTAATGAATTAATCGCAACAAAATGGACATTATTAACGTTAATTGCTAAAAATTATCCATTAAAATTTTAAAGAATAGTTATGCAACATTAAAACTTAAATTAAAAAAAAAAATTTACTTATTACTGATATTTTACAAAGACTTTTTAAACTCTGAGACGGTTAAGTATAATCGTGTATACTTAGCGAATATTTTTAAAGAAAGTTCTTTAGTTGAATCCCAAGTAGTAACGTTCCAACAGTGTGATGTAAAATATTAAAATTAAAACTTGAAAGCGTAAGTCTAAGTTTTAATGTGAAGGTATTAAAATAACTTGGTATTTTAGGAGCGATTTAAATTCACTAGTAAAAGACTCATTATCATTATCATTTAACTTTTGCGTAAAGCCGATGGGTACTAATTACACATGCATTAATTCTAACATATATGCTGACATACACTAAATGTTTATTTTATTCCAACATGACAATTTTTAAGCTACTTACTCCAATTTGAAAAACAATTGCAAAAAGACTAAAAATTAAATTTTGCTTTTTTTTAAATATAATTTCCTTTTAATATTAATTTTAATTAATATTAATAGTATTAATTTAACACATTTTTTCATTATGATGCATTTTAATTTTAGCTTCAATGCGAAGCTGAGAAGGTATTGGTTTTACTATGATGTCTTTTTTTTTTGTCTGTTACCACTTTTTCTCAGCTCTCACTGGACTGATTTCTTTCAACAATACGTCAAAAGATCACAAATCGTATCTCCTTGAAGACATTACCCTTAAAAATTGAGAATATTTCCCTCGTTCCCCGTAAATAGGGAAAATCTAAAAATAATTACAAATTTTAAAATCGCTAATTATCGACATTTTTTTAATTTTTTTTACTTAAAACTGCCTTAACTATTTTAAAAATAACCAAATCAATAACATTTTTTCTTTATAGATGCATGATGTCATTATCTATTATTTGACATATTTTTTATAAATCTGACCCTTTACCTGCCAACAGCAGGGGATTTAACTTTTTTACAAAAAATTAACTTTTTCAACTTAATTTTTGAAAGTGTCCCGGAAATACTAACACTTATATATATATTAAATTAAATCTAATGTAATATACTTTATTATGAAAAAAAATAATTTGGACATAATTTGTTTTCGTTCTGAACATGGACATCAATGTTAATAAAAAAATAAGATATTTGTATAAAAAATTATTTTTATATTTCTAATTTTATAATGATATAACTTTTTGAAAAATATATGGATCATTACAATTTTTTTATGATAAATACTATTTATAAACCTCTTACATTCGACATACTTTTTTTTTTAAATAAAACCATTTACCTTTATATATTTACATATTATAAATATATTACACTTACAAAACATATAACATGTAAACAGGATATAAATAAGGAAATAGGAGATCATGTAGCTTTTGGAATAATCCAACAATTTTTTAAAATTAAACACAATTTACAGATTTGTATCGAAGTGATTTTTATGATAGTGATTTAAATCACTGTCAGATATCATTATACTTGACGATTTTTGTGAAAAATTACAATATTAAATTATTAAATATCAATTTCATACTATATTTAACTGTTATATTAAATAGTTTTTCATATATTACACTTATAAATCATAAAACTTGTAATCAGGATATAAATAAGGAAATATTTATATTTATAAAACAGGAGATTTTGGATTAATTCATCAATTTTTTAAAATTATACATTATCTACAGATTTGTATCGAAGTGATTTTTATGATAGTGATTTAAATCACTGTCAGATATCATTATACTTGACCCGACTATGTCACGTCATCACTATGCCGCAACTCCCCTTTACTGGGGTTTTTTTATTATGCTTTTTCTGTGTTAAATGATTGTATTTCGATATTTAAGCTCATAAACTATTATCTATTTTATACAAAAGTTGCAAACTCTTATATTTTCATGGATTGCCGTGTATTATTTAAAATATTTTTAGAAATATCCATGTCTTCAGTATTGTTTTGAAGTTTTGATCTAGTTTTAGACATAGACAAGTATACTGAACTGTCGGTTTAGCTTGTTTTCTTATTGCTAATCGATTGACAACCAATAACGTCATTATGATTATTTTTTGTTGTTGTTAAGTTAACAAATTTAATATGAATTATTTTCCTTAAAAGTATATAAAGTATTATAAAACTTAAGGCACTGTTTTATATGACTTAATATTTAAAAAAAAATTAATTAATAG